AATTCACTCTTCAAAGTAGAGCTTTCACATTCTAAGCACTCCCATTAGGCCCCACCTCCCAACATGTTCATTGGTGGCTGTTTCCAACATGTGAATATGTGGAAGAAAACATTCAGACCATGGCACCTGGCTCTGAAGCTTTGGGTAGCAGAATAACTCCAGTGTCATATTTGATATATGAGATTGTAAGAATTAACTTCTTTTAGGATTGGAAGGAATTTGGGAACTATATTGTTTTCCACACTCCTTATTCATTCAATTCAACAACTATTTGTTGAATTCTTTCTTTCTGCCTAATATATGGTAGATAATACCATGAAGGATACTGGTAAGTAAAACTTACAGTCAGTATCTTACAGTCTACTAGGGAAGGCAACCGCTAATCAAATAGCCACACAAATGTATTAGTATACCATGTGCTCAGTAATATCTTTAGAGGACAAGTACAGATATTCTAATTAGGAGGACATAATCTAGTCTAAGGGTATCAGAGAAAGCTGAGATCTTGAGTAAAGGGCTTTCTGGGCAAAGGCCCTAGAGCAGAAGCTGTGTGGCTTGTGCACAATTATAGGACATCATTGACACAGCAGGTATTTCCCAAATGAGGAAACTCAGGTGAGAGAGTTAAATGTCCCACATTTGCATAGCCAGGAACAGTCCACCTGACATTCCAGTTCTCTCTTTCTGGAATACTAACATTTGTGCAGAAGTATTTCAGCCTTAGGAGCACATCTGCTCTGTGTTCATGTGGCTCCAGTCTCACTCTGAGCTCTGCATCCACTCTGTCCACCTTCCAGATCTTCACAAGTGTCCCTGCATTGGTGGCCCCATCAGCCAAGAAGGATCATTTCTACTGCTGCTCTTTCCAGACCTCCGTTCTGCTCATGCAGCATAGCGCATGATGCTCAAACACAAGCTTAGAGCAAGATTGCTTGCACAGAAAGATTACTGTTCTATGAAAAATATGTATTTAAAAAAATTGGACAGAAGCAAATATTTATAATAAAATAATGATAACATCTAGGTAGACTCTTAAATATTTTTTTCCTTCATTTTCTAGGTGACATTTAATAAACTTGCGGTATTCAAAATTGAAAATAATACTGAAACAATAATGGAATGCTGGATTTCTTCCTCGCCACTGGAATCTCTGAGTTTTCCTTTAATATGAAAGGCATAGTCAAAGGGGCTTTTAAGAAATGCTTTAAATATGAGCTGTGGGAAAACATTTTTTTCCCCATGACCAGACTTCCCTAAGGCATTCACTAGCTAATGGAATGGTTGGTCTGGGAGGGAGAGAGGAGAGGCACTCCCTTAGCTTCTGGGGAAGTTTATCTATTGAGATCCTGCAGGCCTCAGGCTTTCTGGAAAATGCTGTGGTAGTGAGTGGAAAGGACAAACTGGAGGCTATGTGGGTTCTTGGGGGACACTGGAACCACTCCCCAAATGTGCAGACTGAGAATGTGTCCAGCTTCAGCAGTCTCTCAAGAAGCAATGTCAGTTGTTTGTTCTATGAAGCAGTTTAGAAGACAGCCGAAACCTGTCCACCTTTGGCACAGTTCAATAAGTCAGCCTTCCAGGGCTGTGCACGAAGTCAGATGTCCTCCATTCTTGTAAAATGCTCTGTATTGCCTTCTTAAATATGTGTAAACAAAATGTAATAAGGCTTTTATCTCTCTACTTCCTCACTGTGTTAAGGCCTTGGAGAAATGCGCTGATAGAAGCAAGGCTAGTTCCTTGGCCCTACTGGAAGGGAGACTTTCGTGTCAACAAAGATAGAAAGAATAGAATGTCCTGATTCCAGTTAACGGCTGCTTGCTGCTGCTGTCTCACTAGCTTTTATCATATGCCACTGTGGTTGGAACATTTTCTGGCAGGAAGAATTCAGGGGCCCACCTAGGGAACAACTGAATTTTTCTACTGTATAACCTCAGAGCCTTTTCTTCACCCTGGGAGGTTTCCCATGGGTCTAAGGCCCCAGACCTCTATTAGTGTGCCTCTCGGCCCCAGTGTTCACCACCTATGCCCTTCTTGAATTCCTTTCACTGGGAGCCCTGCTGCAGAGGAGCCTGTCCCATTTGCTTTCTTGCTGTGCCCAAAATAAGTGCACACAGACCCTTTTCTTTTTATGCATATAATGCTAGCTACTAAAGGGACTTCCCACTGTGCATAAGGTGGCAGGGAACATTAGGGAGGTCCTGGAGGGACAAGAACCCTCAGGAAGTCTGCACAGTGATGCCTCTCGGTGAAATGGAATAAAGTTAGACACTTAAGAGGCTCTACCTTCAGCTGTGCCTAGTGGTCCAGGGAGGTCTCTTAAATCCTCATTCCTGACTTCTCTCCCTGGAGACTCTTAGGTCTTAATGGTTAAGACAATATGAACCTATATACCATGCATACATGTATAGGTATGTAAATTAAGCAATTTCAGATGACTACGTTTGAGTGCACAGCTCAGTGGCAGCCAGTTAGTTGATAAGGGTTGGATCAAATTTCCAAAGTGCCTTCTGTGCTTTCCTTCCCTGTGCTTCCCCACTACAGATGAGTAAAAACTGCAGTCGTCAGGGTTGGGGAAATGGCTCAGAGGATATCTGTTGCTGGACACGCATGAGGACCAGAGTTCTGACTCCAGAGCATGGCAGCCTGCTTGTAAATCTCATCACTCTAAAGGCAGAGACAGGATCCCTAGAGAAACTGGCTAGCCACATTAGCCGTATTGGTGACCCTGACTCAGTGAATAGGTGGAAAGCAATTGAGGAAGACTCCTGATGCGAGCCTTTGGCCTCCACGCATACACATGAACACACATACTCACATAGGTGCCCACACATGTGAACATGCATATACACATGCAACCACCCACATGTATGCAAAAGACATGTGACACCTTCTTGTCCTCACAAAGCCCATAGCAGATGTCATTAATCAACATATTTATCCCTGATTTAGGAACACAACCAAAAATGAGTATCCATCGATCAAAATAGGCATTGGCAACCTACTTGTGGGGAGATAACCAAAGAAAATGAAAGCCTTTTTCATAAAAAAAATGAAACATACAAGAATGCCCAGGGCTAAATGCTCCAAATGTCCATCAACAGTGGAATGGATGAAAACATAGTATATGGATAGACTGAAATACTCTACTGCAACAGAAAAGCAGGAGCCACTGACAGAGCGAACACATCTTAGACTGTAGAGTCAAAGAAATCAGAGACAGGGTAGTTTTACTGTGTGAATCTCTTTATTGCAGTTCAAAACAGGCAAACCTCACCTGAGGTGATAAACTTCAAGGCAAAGATTTCTCCTTGGGAAAAATGACTGGGAGGGGCATCAGGAAGCCTTTCAGGGGCTAGAAAGTGTGCTGAAAATTGATTTTGCTGGCAGTTATATGGATGTGCACATGTGAAAGTTCCCTGAGTTATACATTCATGATTTGCCATTTTGCTAGAGCTGTCCTTAAAAGGGAACACTGATTTGAAACCTGTTGGCCAGTCCTTGCTCCTATGTTTTTGAGTATAAGCTCTTGATTCTGAGTCTGATTCAAACCCAGATTCTATTCCCCATTAACTGTGGATATTGAATAGCTTTCTTAACCTTGTGGTAGTTTCTCACTTATATAGAAGGGATAGAAATAGCATTGTCTATGTTCTTGTTCTGAGGGTTCAGTTAGATAATTCATACATAAAGTGTATGACAAGACATCTGCTTGGAATATTTGCTCACTCATGAATACAATGTGGTGTATTTGTTTCTCCCCTTTTCTCCTCTAACCATCTAGTTCTTCATGCTGCTTTCCCCTCTTACTTTCTCTGTGTGTATGTGCATAATCATGCATGTATAGGTTCACATATATGTATGGGTGTGCATGCACATGTGTGTGCATACATGTAGAAGCCAGAGGACAGCCTTGGGTGTCGTTTTTCCTCAGGCAACATCTACCTCATTTTTTGAGACAAGGCTTCTCACCGGGACCTGGGTCTTTCTAATTAGGCTAGGCTGGCTGGCCAGCAAACCCGAGATTCACCTGTCTTCTCTGGGGTTACAAGTGCACATCACCATACCTGTCTTTTTCCATGAGTGCTGGGGCTTAAAACACTGAACTGACTGAGCTGTCTACCTACCCTCCTCTTCTCCCTACCTCCTTTATTCCTTTAATCTCCTCCTACTTTTAAAGAGCTGAAAACATGAAGTTTACATATATTTGTACAATTTTCTCTCTCCTTAAAACACAATTCCAAGCTGGGTGTGGTGGTGCACACCTTTAATCTGAGCACTCAGGAGGCAGAGGCAGGTGGATCTCTGTGAGTTCAAGACCAGCCTGGTCTACATAGTGAGTTCCAGGACAGCTGGAGCTACAGGGAGACCCTGTCTCAAAAAGATGAAAAACAAAAACAAAAATAAGCCCCCACAATTCCACGCTCACTGAACTAAAATTAAATGAAGATTATTTATTAGGTCTATGTAGCCTCCAATGGATTGACTCGGTAGTTCCCACACTCCCCTGCACATTAGAATCACATAAGCTCTCATAAGTATGCCAATGACCAGGCTCCAGTAAACTACACTGTCTGAGGTGGGACCAGGCATCTATCTGCCTTTGGAGCTCTCCAGGTGAGTCAGTGTGTAGACATATTTGAGAACTATTGGACTCATTGATTTCTGTTCCTTTGATAGTGTCTCTGCTACTTCTACCCATGGACTAGAATCAGCTAGGAAGCTTCTAAATAACCCCAGTGCTCAGGCCTGCCTGGGTAAGGCCTGAATGCTTCTAAGGTGCACCCAGCATTGGAGTCCTGGTCCAGAGGGATAAATGTCCTGGTAGCCCTGATATCAGGGTAACTTTAGTCCCTAGCACCACCACATGTCTCTCTTGAATTAGAATACTTTCTCTTTATGGTTTGGAAAATCCTGTGTCTGTCTACTGACTGTTACAAGCTAAATATGGAGAAGAGTTGTCATACTTACTGATAAGTTTTTAAATTTTGTTTTGCCCTCAGTATGGGGTTGTGCTGGATGCGGGGTCTTCTCACACCAATTTGTACATCTACAAGTGGCCAGCAGAGAAGGAGAATGACACCGGGGTGGTGCAGCAGTTAGAAGAATGTAAAGTGAAAGGTAAGGTGAAGGAAAGGGAAAGGGAGATGGTGGGGCACAGGGCATGAGAGGGCGACGCTAAGTGGAACACAAGAGAAAAAGGTGCCAAGGGGGAAAGCCAAGCAAGGGACACAGTTGGTGCTGTTATTGTCATTTATTATTGTAAAGCAATATTGTGTCAATGTACTAGCACAGGCTGGTAAGCGGGAAGATTACAAGTTTGAGGCCTACCTGGGCTACAGCAGGCCAGCCTGGACACCTTAGTAAGACTCTTTCTCAAATAAAAAGTAAAGGAGGACTGGGGATCTAGCTCAGTGGTAGACATTTACTTCACATGCATGAAGCCCTAGCTTCAATCTCTACTACTGCCAATAATAATAAATAGTAATGACATTGAAATAAGCAAATTTGAAAAGTAACTGAGGGTGTTGAAGGTGATAGTGTGCATGTTTAATATTCCTGAGGCCCTAGGTTTGATTCCTAGCAACACACACACACACACACACACACACACACACACGATAAAATAATTGAGCAGTAGACGCTCTTATCAATAGCACCTTTCTGTGTGTCCTTCTCGAAGAACTGAGCGTGTGTTTTTTCTTTCTTATGACCTCCCATTGGGGTGAGTATAGCAGATCCATTTTTAAAAGACGAAGGCAGCAAGACCGATAGGCCATACTACTTGTTTAAAGGTACTTGAGCTAGGAGTTGGTGGAACTGGGCTTCACTGAGGCCTGCCTGACTTAAAACCCACATCTGAGCCAGTTGTTCTTATTTGAAAAGGCATCAGCGCCACCTGAAGAGGTTTTAGAACATGCATGTGGGGCCCCTTACTCCCAGAGTTTCTGAATCAGCAGATCTGGAAGGAACCCTGAAAATTAGAGTTTTTGTAAGTTCCCAGGTGCTACTGATGGTGCTGGTTCAGAAAAGTTCTGCTCTCTTTTTCTTCGTCCTCTGATCTGCAGCTTGGAAGAAAGTTTCAAAAGCCTTTATTCTCTTTACAGACAGGAAAGACCAGATCACAGATCACAGACTTTTAGGGCTGGGATCATTTCAATCTTGTTTTCCAGAGAAAGAAACCTGGAAGATTGGAGCCCTGTAAATAGCAAGAACCAGGCCGGTCCCGAGGACCCTAGGTGGGCTCCAGGCTGCCCACTACACTTGGCTCTGCTTTACATACTGATGGTTTTTTTTTTTTCTAATAAGTTTTTTTAAGGTCACATTTGAGGATGGCTGACAGCTTGGCTCTCCCACTCCCTCCACCCTGCATTCCACCTTGTACCAGACATCTGCACATCACACTACAATCCCTGTGACCTTTGTCTCGGCCTCTTGAGCCAGGAACACATTGTTTCTTTTCAGACAGGTAGTCTAGATCCCAGAAGATAACTGACTTTTAGTCTGATGGCCTGTAGCTTCCACTAAGTTTTGTAATCTGCCAAGAGACTAATAGAGATGTTGCCAAGGGAGAAAGCCGTTCTGCCAGGAGCCTGTTGTAACCTCATTAATACTGAGATCAGACTTCTTGAACTTTTCCAAGTTCCAATTCCTCATTTTACTGACTTTCATTTAATTCACTGGCTTCCATATTTGTGTTTGTTTAGTTTTTGTTTGTTTTGAAACAGGGTCTCCCTGTAGCCCAGCTCACCTGGAACTCGATATGTAGACCAGGCTGGTCTCATCTGCCTCTGCCTCCCAAGCTGATATTAAAGACCGGCACCACTATACCCATCTTTCATTTTTAAATTTAAAAAATTATACTTTTTCTTCTGAGACTAAGCCCATGAATATGTGTTTGGCTTAACAAATATGGTAGTTTCCCCTCTAAAAAGAGAGTTAATGAAATACTTAAGGACAGTTTTTTTCTGAATCAAAAGTGAACTGATAGCTCAGAGCTGATTTTCTCATTAGGTTAAACAGGCTGTTTTAAATCCTGTGAGCGACCTGTCTAATTCATTTGAATAATCGTCTTTAAAGCAAATCTTCGCTATGAAGCACTTACAATGTGATATTTACCTCAGCATGAGATGGAACTGTGGAGTGTTAAACTTCAAAAAGCTTAAGGAATCTTGGCTCCAGGCCTCTCCATAGCAACTGTTAGTTTTGCTCTAAAACCGGAATAACAGTCTTACTAGGGAAGCAAGGGTATTGGAGTATAAGAGTCACTGAGGAGGCATGGATTCCATTCCTGTTTATTCTAACAAAGGAAGAAACTCCATAAATTGTAGGGCACATGGCATGATACCATAGCTGCTTAGTAATACTTTCTGTCTTTTCAGGAAAAGCGAATATGTCTGGTGCGTGTTTTAATTTTTATTCTAAATGTCATCTTTATGTAGGCCTTCTAGGAACTAATGTTGCTAATTACAACTCTGTGGAGTTGTAATAAAAAAAATGGCTAATAGAGTAGCTGTCAGTAAGATTCACATTAAAATCTGTGGCCAGGTTGGGGAACCAGAGAGATGGCTCAGCGGTTAAGAGCATTGACTGCTTTGCAGAAGACCCGGGTTCGATTCCCAGCACCCATGTGGTGGCTAGCAACCATCTGTACCTCCAGGGGAATCTGACGCCTTCTTCTGACCTCCGCAGGCATTGCACGGTATGGGTGCACTTACACACATGCAGGCAATACACTTGTACACATAAAATAAAAATAATAAATAAAATATCTTTTTAAAAATCTGTGGCCATGTTACACAATTGAGTATGAAACTGTGTCACCCTTTGGCCCAACTATTGAGCAATAGACTGGCTTTATCCAAAGTTTAAAAATAAATAAAACTAGGTGTGAATAAGAGTCTACAGAGTATGGGTCCTTGGACAGGACTCCTATATTAAAATCCACCCACCCAAGGCTCAGGAACCATTGCGGAAGAGGGGGCGGAAAAATTGTAAGCGCCAGGGAAGAGGTGCATGAACATACAGAAATAGAGTCCTTCAGCCTCCTGGGACTCCTCTTACACAGACTACAGTAATGGTGTCAGCATAGACAAGACCTATGCAAATGTAGACAGACAGAAATCCAGCACAGAACTGGAAATGGACAGCAAGCTCCAGTCTTAGCCAAAGAATTATTGGCAGCTGATTACTGCTGGGTTAGGAAGAGCTGATCTTAAAGGGAGAGACTCTAGAGAGGCTGCCTAGACCTTAGTGGATGAACTTGCATTGAGGGACATCTGGGGATACTAACTTGACATGATAGGCTTTAACACAAATGACAGAATGTATTAATTCAAGTGGGGGATATGGGAGGGATGAAGGGAGTATAAAGATGATTAAGGTATTCTGTATGAAATACACAAAAATTCAATTAAAAAGGAATAAATACACTTGAAAATGAAAAAAAGAAAACTAGGTCTAGTGAGTTACCCTATTTGTTAACTACTTTTCTAATTACTGTGATAAAATACATGAAAGAAACAACTCAATTGAGGAAGGATTTATTTTGGCTCATGGTTTGAGGAGAAAGTCTCATCAGTGGTCACCTGGCTTTCCCCTTTCCCCCTTTGTATTCAGTCCTAATAGGACGACCATAGGATGGTTCTTCTCCTCCCCAGTTAAACCTCTCTGGAAACCCTCACAAACACAGCCCAACGTGCTCCCCATCCACGCCCCAGGTGCTTCTTAGTGCAATCAAGTTGACAATGGGAATTAACCATCCTACCCTCTGAGTACCACAACCTAATGGACATCACATCAAGAAATGTTTCCTATGTTTTCTCAGCAAAGACATATTTTCCTCTAATACGGAGATATGTCCTATACATTTTTTAAAAGGTTGTCATCATCTATATCTTTCCTTAGGTCCTGGAATCTCAAAATATGCTCAGAAAACAAATGAAATAGGCACATACCTGGCTGAATGCATGGAACTGTGCAGTAACGTGATCCCAGCATCGAAGCTGCAGGAGACACCTGTTTACCTGGGCGCTACAGCAGGCATGCGCCTCCTTAGGTATACAGCATGCAGGGACTAGAGGGTCTAGGAGTGAGGCAGTGCAGGAGCCTCTGAGATGAGGGGGCATGGCACCCCAAATTCTACACTTAAAAAATGTTAATGTGCATGTATAATGGTAAGATTTTAAGTGTCTGAAAACACCTTATCTATCTCCCCTTGGGGAGAGGGGAGGGAGTCAAGGGGAGGGAGTATTCATCAAGAAAGATGAACCATATATGTACCCTGAGATTTGGGGCTGAAGACTGGGTAAATCAACATCCAGGAGGAAGATGACTAGAGACCTACTGATGTCCCAAGACAAGTAATTACAGCTAGCATAGCTTTTTTGGTCACCACTTAGTACCAGTATTCACTGTTTACATCTTATTCATTCACTGTATCATGAGTGCCTGCTCTGCTCACACTATGTGAGCAGGTGACTCAGCCCTCAAGGAGATTAGACTTTCCATCTAGGATGATCTGTTGTTTAATAAATGTTCAAAACTGCTGTGGGAGCATTTGACCTTGCTCAGGATGAAAGGTGGTCAAAGTGATCTGCCACAGGAGGAGATGAGTAAGTTGAATCATGAAGAAGAATCTGGAGGGAGAGGGAAGGGCGATGTAGGTAAAGCATAGCATGCATTCAGTAACCTACCTCTACTCAGCACCTGCTATGTGTCACCAACTATTTTGAGTGCTGAGAATAAAACAGCTCTTGACTTCATGTATTCACTGTTTACATCTTATTCATTCACTGTATCATGAGTGCCTGCTCTGCTCACACTATGTGAGCAGGTGACTCAGCCCTCAAGGAGATTAGACTTTCCATCTAGGATGATCTGTTGTTTAATAAATGTTCAAAACTGCTGTGGGAGCATTTGACCTTGCTCAGGATGAAAGGTGGTCAAAGTGATCTGCCACAGGAGGAGATGAGTAAGTTGAATCATGAAGAAGAATCTGGAGGGAGAGGGAAGGGCGATGTAGGTAAAGCACAGCATGCATTCAGTAACCTACCTCTACTCAGCACCTGCTATGTGTCACCAGCTATTTTGAGTGCTGAGAATAAAACAGCTCTTGACTTCAA